GAGGGGTCCCTGTTCATTTTGTGCTCCTGTGCCACAGAACTTGTTCCTCTTTTCTGAGAACCATGGGCTTTAAATCAGAAGGGCACAGAAAGGCCATTTTATTGTGTTAAAAGACCAGCTCTTCAGCAGCACGAGGGAAACTTGATATGACCATTGAAATATTCCTGCTGAACAGAAGAGAAAGATGAATGCAGTTTGATTTGTCATGGAGGCAGGCATAGGAAGCTCTGTGTTCACCTGCTGACCTTTAAACATTTATTTCAAATTCAGAGTGCTTCCTCTGTAAATATTTTGCATGCGAAAGTGGAAAAAAAACAAAAGCAAACCACAAAGAAGCAATGAAGAACCTGTTTGCCTTTCTTTTAGCCGTTGTGGTACAAGCAGGCTGCAGTCTGAGGGCTGTGACTCTGCATGTAAGGTGATCTCAGCTGCTCTCCCAGGGCCACTGTGGCTTTCATGGAGGAGGACCACACACTCTGTGCCACCTCCCTGTGCTCCCATGAGTTGCCATGTAAGTGGGTCGGGGCAGAATTAAGATTTCTTCTCTCCTCCAGCCTGGAAGCTGGATCCGGAGCCATGGGAGCTCTGGCTGAGTGCCTGGCCGGCTCGCTGCCGGGCTAACCCAGCACACCCACGGCAGGGGATAGTCCCACACCCTGGAGACCTGTGCGTTGGGCCATGTTGAACAGCCTGTGAGCCTGGGTAAGGATGGCTGTGCTTGAAGTCTCTACCAGCCTGTAATTTTGCCCAGCACAGCTGGGTCTTTTTCATGCTGCGGTCTCCCTGCTGCTCTCTGCTGGTGCTGTGTTCGCAGGACGGCATGCTTTCAAGAAACAGACTCCGCTTTTGATGTGTAGCTTGTAGCTAACATATTCTACATTCACATTAGCCACAGTCAAGACTTTTACCCCCTTCAGTACCATCTTTACCTAGTTCTGCAGATAGTTTGTATGGTGTTAAGTTTAGTTAGTTTAAGGGGTTTTTTTAACATGCAAACTGGAGCAGAGAATTCCCTCGGCAAAAGTATCACAGCACTAAAATCCTTTAGGAGGTGTTGATACATTCTGTGCTGAACTTTTTTTTTTTTTTTAAATGTGGAAGAAACATTCCCTGCTCAATTCTGCAGTGTTAAATTTCTGTACCAGGATGTCCAGAGGGGTCAGGACCCAAGTGCAGTGATGGGTCTACATAGAAAGCAGCTCTAGCAAAAATGGGCAGTCTCCTCCTCACTGCGAGGAGGAGCTGAGTCTGCTAGAGTGCCAGCTAGGGTTGAACTAGAGTCTTGAGATACCTGCTGCCCTCTCAGGCTTTTGAGAAACAAGTACTTCAGTCCCTCCTGGTAAGTAGGAGGGAGGGAACAGAAAGCAGTAATAGGCTTCGGCCACTAACACCTGCTTTGTCTTCCCATCAGCTAGCTCCCCAACCCTCGATTTCTTTCCTTAATGCCACACCTAATCCATGCACAGGATGTGTTCTGAGCCCCTCACTTGAAAACAAGTTTCTGAGGGAAAAGTAGTAGTGTTTATTTTACACATGGGTAGGTTTTGATCATATTACAGACAGTAAAATCTCAATTGGGCATTTGTTAATCTACCAGAGAAGTCACTGCCTGAAGAGAGGAGAACTGAATAGATGAGAAAGCTGCATTAACTGGTGCAGTTTGTTTCTGATCAGTGTCTCTAGTTGCAAAAGGCTGTAACTGTACAATAATTCACTGCTACCTTATTTCTAAAGTCCCTGTGGATGATTCCGACCAGACAGACTGCTTTGGTAAGCAGTTCATTTCAATACCTCATAAAAGCTACAGCAGAGAGCAGGGCGAGGACAAAATGAAGCAGAAGTGATTTATTGAGCAAGCAGTGTCATCACTCTGCTGCACATTATGTTTTTGCAAGGTAGAAATTTGTTGGTTGATCTTACCTTACAGAACAAACAAGATTAAGTGACAGAGGCACAAAAACCAGTCCTGGCTCTCTGAGTCCAAGGCACGTTTGCAGACATGGATTAGATCTTTTTCTGTCTCCAGTGGCATGTGCTTGGTTACAGGGTAGTGTTTTGGCATGCAGCACATCTTATAAGCAGCTACCTGCTCATGGCATCTGTTTAGGTAATTGAGTCAGTTACTTCCAGTTTGCCATCCTGCTTATTTATAAAGTCTTCCCTTGTGAATTATGTGAAAATGTAACTTGTTTTTTACTGATAAAAAAATCAGATTAGTCTGATTTACACCATGTAGAGCAGTAGCTGGAGTCACAGAACTAGAGGAAGTCACTGTGTATGAAATTATAGAAAAGTGAGTGTGTGTGTGTGCATGCACGCTGCAGCATTGCTAAATGGAAAGACAGGAACAATTACATTGTTATAGTCTCAAGGACAGCAAAGTGAAACTCTGTAATCCCCACAGGGAAAATACTCTTTGGCTCTGTTATCAGTCCAGATTAAGTCCCTGGGTGTCAGTACTCAGTCTCACTTAAAGTTAAGTCAAGGTTTGCCTGTTGCTTGAACAAGCACTCTTTGCAGATGAGTTTGTGTTCATGGCACAGAATTCTCTTTAGTTTTAAAACTTTAATAATAAATGATGCCTTAGAAGAGCAATACAGCTTTTGTACAAGGAAGGGTGTATTGCTTGCAGCTATTTGATTTCATAATTTAAAATTTCCTTTTTTGACCCCTTTTTAATGTCAGCACTGAGGTATTTGCTAATGGGAGAACCAATGTATCATTAGATATTCTGCCTGATCTTCCTCCACCCAGTTTTGCCACCACCCAAAACATAGGAGCAAGCAGCAGCCTGCCCTGGCTAGCTTGAGGAGTTCACTGCCTCAGGAAGTGATCAGATCACATCTCTGTCAGGATCTCCTGTCTTCTTGGGAATGAGAAATGCAACTCCTGAGACAAAAAAAGGAGCATGCATTAAACTCCAGAGAGAAGGCACAGAACAAGTTGCACCTGATTTCAAAACTCCTTCTGCAGGCTTTGGCACTCTCTGCAGAGTTAAAAGGACCGATCCCTGAAAGACATGAGAAAAGCATGCTGAGAGAGCATTTCTGGGAGGGAACAACCCTACACAGAGAGGATGCACTATGGGCTGCCTAGGTGTCAAGAATACTGCACTACCCCTTCTGCATGCAGGGGTGGATGAACACGAGAGACTGCAACAGCTGTCCTGCCTAAGCCTGGGAATGTGTGCATTACTTTGAGCAGTGTTAGTGGGAAACCCAGACTCAGCTAAGCTCCTTCAGTACACCTGTACCACAGCAGGATGGCTTTTTATTTGCACTTAGCAGATGAGGACTCACCTAGCAGTAGAGCCCATGAGCAAATGCCACCATACAAAGAGCAGATAATCATAGTGCCTTCTTAAGTGCTTGCAGTTATCTGAATTTCCTGATGGCACAGTGAAACCTCAGGCATCAAAGTGTAATGGTGCTGGAGCCAGAATGTAACACATCTCCCCAAGTATGACCTGGCCATAGAGCCCCATCTGTGATGCCACTGACAGAGCCTGAAGAGCACCAGGCAGCATGGTACTCCACTTGTTGCGGAGGGCATGCAGCAGACAGGAGAGAGTAAGGTTCATTGCTTCTTAGGAGCAGGCACGTTTGACTGAATATATCAGTGCTGCAGATTTGGAAATCTAAATACTTCGTGCAAAAATCATAAAAACTTAGGTCAACAGTTTTTTGTGCTTGGCAGGCTTACTTGAACCATCTAGTCTGTCCAAGTGCCATAAGAACTACCACAGAGCTCAACTTTTGAGGCTGCCTTGATGATTTTAAATGACATTTTTAAAATAATAATGACTTCACAAGACAAGTAACAGAATCTATAACTTCAGATGAAGTGTTCCTTATTTCACACACTTTCACATAAATGGTAGCTTGCATTGCCCACATGGATTTTAGGTGGCTTGGTTTGCTTGCTGCTGTGCAATAGTCACAAAAGACACCAAGGCAGGGCAGGAACCAGAGGATTCAAGAGTAGGACAAGGTCACAAAGAAGTTAGAGGCTAGAGGCACAGGGGCATACGGTGTAGACATAAAGTAAGATATACTCAGCCCCAAAGGAGGTTGGATCTTTCTTTTCTCCAGTTTTCTGGAGGCTGCTTGTTTCACCCAGTATTCGTCACATTTTGAAGGGCCAACAAGATACAATGGTAGACGGTAGGCAAGCATGTTCTTGCCTAAAAACAGTGAGGAAATTTCTTCTGCAAAGCTCCTCACTGCTGAGACAGAAGCCTTTGTTCCTTACATCCGCTGGATGTCTTTTGTTATCTAATCCTATCCCCTCTGTAATTGTACCAATTAATACCATTGCAAATCTCATTTCTCATTTACAGAACACTGTTACTTTGCATCTCACTTTGATGAGGTGAGGGTAAATCTGCTGTTTTCAGCTCGATTCAACTAATAGATTCCTCTGTTAGCAGTGACCTGTTAAGAGATGAAGTATGAAGACAGCATATGCACCAAAGCACATGGACTGACTGAGACCCCCCCATCAAAATCTGTTCGCCCTACCTGGGTTTGTTTGTCTGTGCTCAGAGGTCCTGTGGGTGCAACACACACAGAGAGAGACAAGAGAAAACTGAGGAAAAAATAAATCAAAAGAGGTCCTGCTTATGTTGATGACAGCTCTTTATCAACTCATTTCTTGTAGTCTCCCAGCCATCAGCATCAAAACTCTGCACACTGTTTTCAACTGAAGTAGATGTCTCTCACTGCTTCTGAAATCTGAAGGATCATTCCTGTAGAAATGAAATAAAAAACATTGACATTACTATTCCAGATTTTCACCAGGTGATACAGCCGGAGTCCAGTTTACAAATCTGAGTTCAGAGTAACTTCCTAGATACCAGCAGAGTTGCTCCAGCTTTAAGACTGTCTCAAATGTATTATTTCAGCACATTTATGGCCTTTTTCTCATAATGATTTGAAGTGATGGCATGTAAGTTTCATGTGTCCACTCAATTTTCTTCATTTTCTCTTTTTGTTTTAAAGTATATTTGGTGCTGTTCGAACTGGTGCTTATATGCTGTACATTTTGATGACCAAAGGCCTGAAGCAGTCAGTGTGTGACCAGAGTTTTTACATTGGACCTGTCAGCAAATTCTGGGCATATGCATTTGTGCTAAGCAAAGCACCTGAACTAGGTGAGTACCCTCCTTCCCTTTCTCTCACTATGCGTATTTAGAGCAGAAATGTCTGTGCAGGAAGAACAAGAAGGGTCTCAGTGCTGTTCAGGTCTTGTTTAAGTCTTAGAAAAACTGAGTAAGCAAAACCAGCCCCAAACTCTGCATGTTTTAGTGTCTAGAGATTAAGTCCAGCTTGGCTGAAGTTAGAGCAATGTGCAGTTGAATAAGACCATTCCCAGCCCAGGAATAAATTGCAGTGATTATATACAGCAGGGCAGTCAAGTTAAGAGCAATCTGGTCCATATCTCTTCCTTAACTACTTGTAAGTAAATAAAAGTAGCATAATTGGCAGTCACTCACCCCATGGGTACAGAAGTGAAGGGTGGGCTACAGCAGCTGTGTCAGCAAGAAGCTTTGAGCTAGGTTCTACCTTCATTCTGCAGCATTCATCCTTAAATACACATGTAGGCGTACAATTATGAACAGTAATGTGCTTCCTCCCGAAACACTGAAAGCTGTGGCTGTCTGCTTCCTGCAAATAGAAACCAATTTCCTATAATATCTCTAGCTTTTCCAGTCCTGATTCTTATAGACGCCTGTCTCTCCAGCAATTTTTTTTTTTTGCTAAGGGTACTTATATACATGCTAAAGCCAAGTTAATAGCCAGTCTGCATGTGTTCTCATTCCATGGCTTATTAATGCAAGAAAGGCTTGTTTTAATGGGAAGTAGGAGGCAGCAACTTAGCTGCCCTCCAGCTTTCATTTCAAAGGATGACCTTACTAAACCTCAGAGGGCTGCAGTACTCACTGTGTTCAGGTGTACAGCAAAAAATAAGTCTTTACCTTTCAGCAGAGAATTTGATTCAGCAAATTACAGAAAAACATCAGCATAAAAACTGGAGACAGACACCAGTTGCCTTGCTGTGTCAGAATCCCTTGGTTTCCTGCTGCTTAGATTACTGCAAAGCCACAGAAACTTAGTTCTTAAAAACTGCACAGCAACAACAAATTGAATATATGATTAATTATGAAAATGTGAGTCAACATCTTGCAGCTAATGAAGTAAACAGTAGCATTATGGCTTATTACAGACCTTGTGCAGACAGTGCAGTTTTGGTTTCACCCATCACTAACTTTCATGATTTGGATTTTCTGGAATACATATATGTAGAAATAAGTACCCAGATTCAAATCTCAGAGATCTTTTTGGAAACACTGTGTCTATAACAACAGAAAACAAGTAGCATACATACATACATCCATCTAATTGAGATGCTGTCCTGATTCAAGCCCAGAGGGCAAACAAGCACCATGCTGTTAACTCACTCCCTCCCCCCCAGTGCTGGGAAGGAGGGAAATTAATCAAGAGACTCAGAAATCACGATAAGGACAGGGAACAGTTGCTCACCCGTTTAACGGTCACAGGCAAAAGACAGACTCCTTAGAGGAAGAAAACAAGAACATCACTTTTATTCAAACACTAACAAAACCAGCACTTAACAGACAGAACGGAACAGTGAGAACTGTTACTGTATCTTAAAACATCTCCCCCCACCCCTACCTTCTGCCCAGGCCCAGCTTTGTTACAGATATTTCTACCTCTTCCCCCAGCAGTGCAGGGGCAGGGAATGGAAGGGTGCAGTCAGTCTGCTGCTTCTTCCTCCAAGGCTGGGGGGAGCACTCTTCCCCCTGCTCCATGTGGTGTCCTCCTCAACAGGAACAGTCTACCACAAACTCCCCACCATGAGTGCTCCTCATGGGATGCTCTGGCATGGGTCACTCCTGGTGTTGCAGTCTGCCCAGTGCCAATCTACAACACTGGGGGCTGCTTCTTCCCAGAGTCCCAGCCTAGCACAGCCACCTGCTCTGGTGTCTGGTCCTCCACAGGCAGATCTCTGCTCCTCCAGTGACCTCCACGGGTGGCAGGGAGGGTGGCCCACAGGATACAGAGGGGCTCCCTCCTCTGGCTTGGCTTGGTTTGGCTCGGCTCGGCTTGGCTCCCCTCCTCTCCCTTCCTTCTGCTGACCTCAGTGTTCACATAGATGTGCTTCTTATAACACCTCCTCAAGTCTCCTCCTCTCAGTTCCCCTTTTAAAATACATTATCGCAGAGGCGTGGCCACTGTTGCTGACTGGCCCAGGCTTGGCCAGAGGCAGGTCTAACTTGAAGCTGGGAGAGCTTCAAGAAGCTTCTCACAGGGGGACACTGCTGTAACTGCCTCCCCCACTGCTAAAAACCTCGCCACTCAAACCCAGCACAGATGTTTAGTGCAATCATGAGAAGCATAAGGAAGAAAAAAGCAGGAAAGGGGAATAAAATTTACTTTTCTACAATAGCAACATGAATTTGCAGAAAAGGATGCAAATTTCTTTCTAGAAGCGTTTCTTTCTGACAATTACATAACTTTTCAGTACTGTAGGTTGCATATGCAAGAGCTTTTTGCATAGTACCTCGAAAGGTTCTACTGAGTTTAACTAGGCTCAATTGGTAGGTAGGCATTTGAATTGGAGGACACTGTGCTGCTTTTCTCTTCAGGTTTTCTGCTCTCTGTCAAGCTGCATTTCTCTTCTAGTCACAGTTTATCATGGACAGTCTAACAGAAGAAACATCCACCTACTTCAGCTCAGACTTTCATGGGTTATGTTTGCAGCAGAGGGCTACTAAGTAAATCTATGGAGTTTTTAAGCAGGGGTTAGCCACACAGGAAAATGTGGATACATTGGTTTTCCAAAGATTGCATAGAGATTAGGAGCCAAGCTGACTCTCAGATCAGACAGTCTCTCAGATCTGCAGCACTGCAGTAATTATGGAATTGTTCAATATGCCTTTTTTTTTTTTTTTTTTTGTTTTGTTACAGGTGATACAATATTCATTATTCTTAGGAAACAGAAGCTCATCTTCTTACACTGGTACCATCACATTACTGTGTTACTTTATTCTTGGTACTCCTACAAGGACATGGTGGCTGGCGGTGGCTGGTTCATGACTATGAACTATGGAGTACACGCCGTTATGTACTCTTACTATGCCTTGCGGGCTGCTGGCTTCAGAGTCTCACGCAAGTTTGCCATGTTCATCACCTTGTCGCAGATCACTCAGATGTTGATCGGTTGTGTGATCAATTACCTGGTCTTCTCCTGGATGCAGCAGGGCCAGTGCCATTCCCACGTGCAGAACATCATCTGGTCCTCTCTCATGTACCTCAGCTACTTTGTGCTCTTCTGCCATTTTTTCTTTGAGGCCTATATTGGCAAAACCAGAAAAGAAAGGAAGGTTGACTAGTGGTAGAAATGAGAATCCATAGCTCAGGGTCATCAAGAAAAACAAACTTATAAGAAAAGAAAATGGCACAAGGAAACACATATATGTATGGTGCAGCTAAAACTTGGCAGCTTAGGGAAAGTTAGCTTGGTTTAACCCAGTAAGTTTATGATCCTATCATGGTGAGGACTCACTGAATTCTACTCTATCTCAAAGGACTGCTGATGAAAGACAACTTCCTTCTTGTACCTGTCTGCTCTAGAAAAGAAAGAAGAAAAGAGAAAAATGGAAAGAAAAAAAAAGAAAAGAGAAGGAAAGAGAAGAGAAAAGGAATAATGATGAGGGGGGGAAAAAAGTACATTAAATAATCAGTGTGTTTCCCCAGGGAGAAGCAGAGACTTTTATTTAAAGGAAAAAAAAAAAGTTTCTAAATCCTTTCTAATAATTTTGCAGCATTAAACTTGAACAAAACAAAGCAGAGAGGTGACAAAAAAACAAAATCTATGATAACAGTAAGATTGCAAAATTAAAATCTTTTCCATAGAAGGTCAATACCTTTAGCCAAAATGAAACCCAGGAGGATGTTTCCTGCATGGAAAGTGGCTGAACTCCACACTGTGGTCATGAATGGAAAAGAGAAGAGATTGATTTCTCCGCTATGTACTCTGCTGGGGGAGCAGATCTGGGATGCAGAGTCACCTCCCTCAGAAGGCAGAATGGAGCAGTACTTTTACAAGAGTTTAATGTGAAAAGATGCACTATTGCAATACATATCTCAGAGAGTGCATTTTCCAAGTGCATTTTTCAATTAAAGGCAAGGAATTTCTGCAGCAGGATAAGTCATAGAGGGTTAAATCAATCAATATTTGCTAAATTACCAGGGGCTAATAGGAAGGAGAGGGAGACAACTCCCCTCACGTGATTTTTAGGAATTACCTGTTAATCTCAGTTTCACCTGCAGCAACACTGAATTGAATGGGGGAAATCAGAAGAAATCCTAGTTAGCAAGAAGGGAGTGATATATCTGCACACTGTTTTCAGAACAGAGCCCTCTGGTACAATACGGATTCTGTATTTTTGTGGACACATGGACACCTGCCTGGGTGGGAAGAGGTGGCAGGACCGTGTGACATTGGGTAACACTGTGCTTCTGCATCTGCCTCCTGGGCAGTGCAAAGATGTTCAAAGTGCCCTCCTCTGGTCATGTGGAGATACTACTACAAAACATACTTGGAATAGGTTTTTCTTGAGATTTGTATAGAAAAAATTAGCCTAAACGAGTAATTTTGCTGCAGCAGCTTAACTCTAAAGTCCAGAGAGAATTATCCTTCATTAAATATCTCTCTCTCTCTCTGCAGAATCTGTACTGTAACATCAGACTGACCACTTAAGAAGACACTCTTTCTTCTCTGAAGTCAGCTACAGATATAAGGAGAAATGTATTTCACTCTGAACCTTAGAGAGCTAGTTGAGAACAGCCATATTCTTTCAAACACAAGTAGATTGCTTTATCTGTGATATTCCAGTCCTTACAAAGCCAAATAAAATGTGTAAAAGTTCCTAGTATTTCAAAGACGCAAGTATGTAAACTTGATGTTAAATGTGTTAATGTAGTATTCTAAATTGTATCAGTTAGGTAGTTTAACTAAACAATTAGAAGAACTAGATCAACAAAATAGGGACTGCTGTTCTGCATAGGATATACACACACCTATAACTACACCCATATACACATTCTGTGAATTGTCAACAAGAAAAAAAAATGCCCAGTGGCAGAGAATCACGTTTCCTGGCTAATGCAAAGATTGTCATTATCTTTCTTGCTTTAATTTGAGATTGTACAGTACAAAGGGTTTTTTTTTTAATTCTTATTTTTAGCTTTAATTGTGCTGTCATTCATGAAACAGCTGCTTTAGTATCCTGTTAAGAGATGACAAGGGCTTTCGGTGTCTCATATACAAAAGAAAAACAAATAAAGTTACATTCCATGTTATGTGAATGGTCTTACAAATCAAAAAGCCTTTGCAGGCTAAAATCATAATTATAACAACAAGAAAATGAGTTTACATTTGTGTTATTTAAGTTATTGATGTGCTGATGTTATTTTATGGTACACAACAAATAGCAAAATGTGATATTCAGTAATGAAGCTATGATATTCATTAATAGGACTACTGTATACGTGGAAATACTAGACAAAACCAATTAAATGTGTAAACTATTTTGTTATACAGCTTGGGAGTAGATAATTATAATGCTGAATAAGCCTTTTTCCTCATGCTTAATTTTGCCCTGGCTAAGAAGCAGGTTAAGAAGACCAGTTAAGAGTGGAGAAGGCAAAGTTAAAGTTGACTGCAATTAGATGAGAAGCGTTGGTAGAAGGCCACCATCGTGCCATTTAGACCCTCAGTCCTGTGTGTCGTAGGTCTCTCAAATAAAGCAAGAGGGGCTGGAAGTGGTCTGATGTCTGGAGCTAAAGCTGGAACAGAAACCTTGAACCCTGTGAAGTCAGTGGAGGCTTTGCTCTGCTTTGAACAGAGCTGGTGAGTCCGACTGCTGTTTATTTGAGCAGGGGGGAAGGAACTGCACACATCTCCTGCTAATTGGAAGCTTATGGCTAATGACTTACAAATCCCATAATCTTTATCAATAAGAAGTGACACCACAGCGAGTCAAGGACTTGCAGCCTAAGTTTAACACTGGCAGAAAACAGGGTGGGTTGCTAACAACTTGCTATGTTTCATACACTGTTTTCCTTAATTGCATGAGAGAAATAAAACCCACACCTGGCAATGCCAACACTGACTTCAGCGGAGCAAGAGTTTCACCCACTCTGACCCCATCATCCCAAGGCTCTCGTGGGTACCTCGGCACCATTCCCAGCACCTGCTCCCCGACGTGCCCGCTGCCCCATCGGCCAGGGCTGGGCAGGCAAGGGCCGCCTTCCACACTCCATGGGTGAGAACTCTGCACTCCAGTGCAGAAACCAGCCCTAGTGACCTCCCCAAAATGCAGGGTGGGTGCACCCCTGGCATGCAGGGAGGCTCAACATTGAATTCAGTGGGCGTCCTGGCAGGTGACTAGGCTGCAAGTGAGCACGTGTGCAGGGAAGGGGCAGCAGAATCAGGCACGTAAGGGACAGTGGTAAATCAGGGTACATTTATTGTCACACTGGAAATTGGCTGGAAATGGCAGCGTGATGCTGCCATTTGCTTCAGGACATGATGTATCACATGTAACACAGGTCCTGTGGCCCTACTATACCATTGGGCTTTTCCTCTGAGGTTTTCCAGTGGAGTCAAATGCGGTAACTGACATTAAAGAAATTGAGGATAAGACCAAATCAACTTAAACTGTTTTGCTTTTTTTTCTTCCTAAAACACTCATGATATTTAAGCATCACATTTAACCCACTCCCATGTACTTAAACACTGAGACAGTCAACCCTAATGTAATGACACCTCAACGATACTCCAGCTGTCCCAACCTATGAGCCATAAGCTATAAACACAGTTAGCTGAATCCTATTAATTTCCCCTGGTTTCAGCCTTAGGGTCACACTTGCAAGTTTTATTGTCCACTACCGAACTCTTTTTTCCTAATTATTTTGAATAAAGCTGTAATTATGTTGCATTCACTGACATCATGGGCAACTGGAACTTTGTATAAATTACCAAGTATTATGGGACCTGTGACGACCACCACAAATGCTGGAAATGCTGTTACAGGATTCACTGTTAAAGTCAGTAAAGTTACACTGGTGATAAGGTCTGTCTGCCAAGGTCAAAGTTTGTGTTTTATGTTTTGACGCATTAATCCAATGTACTGAAATAAAACCAGAAAGGTTGGTATGGATTTACACTTAGGCAGCTGCTAGCAGAGAAAGGTTCTTGCTGGACACTACTTCTGTGTAGTGAAGGCTTTAAGAAAAATATTTTTGTCTAGTTAGCAGAAGAACAAAAACTTGGGTAATTCTGCAGCCTCTTTAAATTGTGCCTGTAATGAGAGGGAAAACTTGTGCTTACAGTCCTTCTGTAACTCAGTCACAAATTAGTTATGTCTGGGCTCACTGATAACACCCAAGAGTGGCTGGCTCCAAAAGAGACCTCTCACCAGAATCTCACAGTAAACTAATACAACCTTTTACTTACAAGATAAGGGCCAAAGCGTGCAAAAGGAACCACCTGACAGAACCATGTTGGGTAGTAGGAATACAGTATCGAGCACAAATTGAGACAAGAAGGGAGAAAACCTATCCTGTATCCCAGGAGAAAGTATTTCCAGGCTGAATGCTATCTCCTTCCTAAGACAAGGAAAAGAATAGCAGGCGGAGGGTGTGCTGCGTAGTGCCAGGCACTCAGGGTGGTGTGTCTGGTGGAATAAGGCTTGCGTGAAGGGGTTCCTCCCGCAGAAGTTAATTATGCAGTGGCTCCCTGAGTGCAAGTGTGGGTCTGTGGATTTCTTTGGAGGAACATCCATGGTCTAATAACTTGTGAACTTTAAGGCATGGGTGTGTATCGTTTTTATTTCCTGAAAATAAAAACCCGGGACAATGTTTTACTGAGAGCAATGGTACCTCAGGGATCAATATTCATGTGGTTTTCGGGCAACAAAGCGCATAAGACACCAACTGTTGTGACTGTGAAACAGCAGCCTTTGTAAGCAGTGCCAGATATAACATTAGAGCAGTAATATCTCTAGTAGTTGCAGTCTATCCTGTACTTCAGGAACAAAAGTATAACATGTTTATATAGCAATCGTTAATACAGACATACTTTAAGGAATAAAAATGGCTTTGATCAAAGAAGAAATCAAAGCAAATTGCAGACCATACCATGTAAGTTCAGGACTTTGCCCAGTGCCTCCTGGGAGTGAGATTGCCAGTGAGATGTCCCATGACTTCAGCCTGCTGCAGCCCAGTTGCAGAGGGCGGTGCAAGACCTAAATCCCCCTGTTACTTAGTGGTGACATGAACCCACTCGGGGCATCACTTAGGCCCTGATACAGGTCTTCAGTCACATTTTCCAGCCTAGTGTCAGGGAGCCCTCTGAAAGGGAAGAATTGCAACTCAGTTCTGTCAGTGGGTTTCTACTGGTTTATTTCAATGCACTTTTCATTCTGTTTATTAAAAGCAAGCTAAAGGCCAAGTCCCTGATCCTGCCATAATAAACACCCTGCTGCAGTCAGTACAGCGATGCACAGACACATAACTCTTTTGCTTATGGGGTAAAGGCAGGATCAGTGCCTTGTTACAGACTTAATTTCTAGCAGAGCAAATACCACAGGGTAGGATTTGATTTCTTAAATTAAACCAACTGTACCAACACAAATAAGATCGGATCTGTACAAGAACTTGACAGCTAAGGTGAACCAGGGCCCTCCCCAGTACATCATAAAGCTCAATAAAATGCTGCATGAAGTGGGGTTAGAGTGTATTTCCCAAAGGGTAAAAAATAATACTCGCCTGAAACAGTGACCTTCCTGAGAAGTCTCACTTCTGTCCAGCCCTGGACAGCTTCAAACAGGCCTGTCGGCTGAAAAAACACAGCTCTGATTGACTTATCTGCTTTCTCAAAAGAGCCACTACATGCTTCAGGCTTTTTGAAGCCTTAAAGTGCAAGCTAGATTTATATTCAGAAAAAAAAACAAAACCAACCTTAAATATGTGTACAATAACTAGGAGAGAATAGTATGAGAAATATGTTTATTTTACCATTTTCAAATGGCTATTTCACTACATAAAAGGAAGTTTTTATTTTTATTTTTTGGGGGTATATTGATATTCCAAATAAAATTTTAACTTTTGGTTCAAAATAAAATCTGTCTCTGTGTTTTATTGATCTGTAACATCCATTTCATTCTCTATACTGCCACCAAGTCCAGATATTGAAAAAGACATGTGACTCTCCAGCTGTGAGACTACAGTGTGGCTACTCTGTGTTTCACTTCCCAGCAAATTTCTATGAAGTTCATATTTTTGTGTATCACATAGAAGCATTATATGGTTTTTCCTTTGTGTGTATATGTGCACATGCATCTGTATGCTATGAGTTCCTATCATACAGATAATCACTGCTTAAATGTCCTGTTCCTACATGCTTACACTTCAGAAATCTTACTCTCCTTTTCTGGTATGAAACAATCCCTGTCCATCATGATACCTTCTGAGCAGGGGGACTGTGCAAACACAGCAGCACTTGCCAGCAAGCCCAGCCAGCACTGTTGTAAGGCTCCTGATGGCACTGTCTGCTCTGTAACATTCCCACAACAGTCTTTTTCTGAATCACTCTGTGTCCTTTGTCCCCTGAACATCACTTTTACCCATCCCTCTGCCTGCAGCACAACTCATGCAGGCAAGCACCCATGCTAAGTGATGGGCATGGCCATCCTGGTCTGAACAGCAAGAGCATTTCATGGCTTATTTTGCTCTTAATATTTTGGAGTTAAACCAAAGCAGTCTATAAAGGAAAATAAAAGCTTTGTTGCCCCATATACACAAATTCATAAGGTGACTTGCATCTGTTTTGAGACTAGCCAAAGGCTGAGGCAGGACCCAAAGCATAAATGTTTGGGCCGCAGCATATCCCTGCTGAAACCCCACCGTTCTCCCCCTGGAAAGGTTTCCAGCCCCACAACAGATTTCTGAGCAAAGGCAGCATAAACTGGAGGTGGAAGGAGGAGGGTGCCCCCACAATGGGCACACATGGGTCTGTGAGAGTTTGGGTCTGTGTGACTGGTTTGGGAGCCAGCCCAAGGAGCAGCCTGGAAGTGGAGCAGCAAGAAGATGGAATTGGATATACATACAGATCAGGAAGTGCTGCCTACCATCTTCAATATTATCACAGGGAGAGTGAAAGAGCAAATGTAGCAAAGCAGAGGGCAATTTCCAAGATAGGTGCAGCTCTGCTGTTGGAAAGAACTCCAACAATAACGGGAGAAAAAAAATAGGATGTGGGCGGTATAGGATTGTTTCAATCTTATGGCAGAAAATACATTTCCTTGGTTCCACTATCCACCTTTCTAATGCTTCTGCCAGCTACCTGTGACCCAGGCTGGATTACAGCTGTATTTGAGGTAGGAGTGGAGATGAAGCATGTAAATCCTTCTTTTATTAAGGTTCTATGGAAAGCTGTGCTGGATTTGACTGGGATAGAGTTAATTTTCACAAGAACCTGGGAGGGGGCACAGCCAGGACAGCTGACCAGAACTAGCCAAGGTATATTTGATATCATATGACATCATGGTCAGTATATACTTGGGGGAGCTGGCAGAGAGGAGGAGGGATTGTGGTTTAGGAACGGGCTGGGCATCAGGTTCTGGGTGGTATGCAATTATATCGGGTATCACTCACTTTATATGCTTCTTTATTAGTATTATTATTATTTCTTCTCTCCTTGTGTTGTCCTATTAAATTGTCCTTATCTTAACCCATGAGGTTTTACCCTTTTCTTCTGATTCTCCTCCCCATCCTACCAGGGTGGGGGGAGGAGTGAATGACTGGCCTCGTGGTGCTTAAGCCATGACAGAAGCAAAGGGGTATAGCTTTTGTGGATGTTCTACACACCCAGCCAGTACCTTTGGCAAGGCTCTGGTAGGGAGTGTCATCCTTTATACCCCAAGCAGAAAAGAGCCTTTCTAGTTTCCTCATCAGGCTTCCATGACTTGCAATGACTTTGTGCTGAAAGTCCCCAGTAGAATCAGTCATCCTGACATCCCACCAAACGTGAGCTGCTGCTTACACAGAAAGAGGATATCAGGACAAAATAAAGTACGTCGTGCTTGTCCTTTAGCACTGCGTGGCCAGGCAGGTATCTATCACCACGTGGTACCAGCAGTGCTCTGTCTGTTGCCATCCCGGCAAGGAGAAATTCTCTCTGGCCCAGAACAGATGCCGAGCACGAATGACTGAAGCTGAATGAAGCTGACCCCGTGCAGGAGCCCAGCCACAGCAGAGGGGAGCCACGGGGCCGTAGCTACCGTTCCCCTGCTTGCTTGTCCGGGAGCATGGCGCAGCCTTACCTTCAGCTATGCTTTGTCCCTCATGCACAGCGGTTGCCTCAAAGACAAAGCTGAAGCATCTCACAAAGCTGACAGTGAGTCCATGCAAGCCAACACAGATTTCACAGTGATGCTGGGCTTGACCAAGGAGTTTCTTGAGGCTTTGCCACATCATTTAATGGGAAAATGCTGAATAAACATTCTTCATCCATTCTCCTCCAAGCAGCTTGGTGCCCTCTCTGCTCCCTCAGAGTGATGTGCCTGCAAAATCCCTTGTGGAAAAACCCAAGTAAACACCTTCATCTGCACCTGCTCTGCCACCTTCCAGCCCCTTGGAGGCCTAAGGGCTTGGCAGGGAGCAAACCCTTGCTGCTGCTCTATCACAAGCTCATCACAGAAGGATTAAAAGGAATTATTTATAACATCTTTTACTGCAAAGGAGTAGGCTGCATTGCCTAAATGACTGATCTGGGGAAGACAGGTGAAGCCAGAAGAACTCTGCTGGGGCACAATGCTCTGCCTTGCCTCTCATCTACACTGCTCTTCAGCTTTCCTCTCTGCGCTATGCAGTGAGTATAAAGACAGCCCCAGACCCTGCTGCTTTAAGGTCTGGGGCTTCAAGACGGTCTGCCTGTTCAGCCCAGGCTGAGCTCCACTCCTTTGCTCGACAGATTTGTCCTTGTTCCTGAGATGCTCTGCAGCTTCTCACAGGAGCCGCCCCTGTAGACCCTCCCACACCACCGAAACCCTGCTACACAAACCCAAGTCCCCACCCTGCCACTGTCAGCTGCAGTTCCTTGATTTGCGTTTGCAAATCATTGCTCAAATCCCTTCTGCGGTCACTGTAATTCTTCACACTCCAGCAATGCACCACAGCTGCTGCCACCCAGCTCCACCAACCCACAGGGCAGATAGTGAAGAAAATGGCACTAAGCTGCTCAATGACCTATTTTTCCACCTTCAGTAGAAATTAAATTGCAGAGCATGGTGTCACTTGTTCAGATCATGCTGGCTTAGGGATGTTCATGTAATTGACCATTAATAGAAAGACTGTATTTCCAAGCAAAGTAATTAATGAAGTACCAACACTTTACTGTATCATCTGCAGTGTCAAATGATGCATAAATTTAGTTTTACCTGTTAAAAATGAGCCATGTATCTTCTTGTTTATTTTACATCTAGCTCATCTAACCATAGAAATGGTCATAGGTGAAGTTATAATAAAGGAAACAGTGATAAAAAATACCATTTTTGGAATGTGTTACATAGAATAATTTATTTTTACTAGAAGAACCTTAAAGGTCATACATAAAGAATTTTTCGAGGTCAGTATTTTTTCCTTATAAATTTTACTAGAAATACCAAGGATCCTATGTTTGGTCAGTACAATGCTGGCACTTACATCCAAATGGTGGCACTGGAACTGCTGAGGGCATTTAAATCCTTTTCCCCAAGTACTCATTAGACAGGCAGCTAAATACAGTTAACAAAGACTTTGTTGTTCACCTCTTCTGCTTCCTTACTAAAGCTTTTCTTTCAACATGGCTTTATCTATATAAGATAAACTGAGCACATGTAGGCTGATGACCATTCAGGGTATCTGTCTGTAAGATAGGTAAGGTCGCAGCTGTTTCAGGGAGTACTGTTTTCTTCAGAACTTTGTTGGGTAACAGAGGCTAGGTCTAGGAAGATAAAAGTAGTTCAGGCCTGTTATCACTTAAGAGGGTTATGCATTTCGTGAATGCAACTCTGTGCCATTTCAGAGTTTAGTTCACAACTACTGACATCAGTAGAATTTTAGGCTGGAAGGATGTTACATCACTTCAAGCATAGCTCATGTAACTGTTTCTTCAGGCAGAGCTTTTGCAAGCCCCACAGCTGGCAACCGGCATGATGCAAATATGAGGCATGGAGTCACACACAACAGCCCTAGAGAGCGCGTCTGCAGGACATGTGGTGGGCCGAGCCCCCACTGGTGGGCAGCGATCCCCCTGCAGAGGGGGACACAGGTGCTCCCAGGGAGCCTGGAGAAGACCTGGCCAGTCTTGGCCAGTGAGCTGACCAGTGATCTAGCCAGACTTGGCCAGTGCGGTGTGGTCTGGGGCTGCTCTTGGTGGGACTTATGCCCCTCATCTCACCCCATGCAGCTTGGTTTTTTAGGTTGGTAGAAGAGGACCTTGACCCACCCATGCAGAGTGACTGAAGCTCTAAGATGCAATTTGACTGTGTGTCTCCTTAATACTGGTAGTATGTTGGGGATAGTATAGATGGTCATATTCCTCACAGGACTTATTTAAAGCTGAAAAGGAGGGCACATACAGGCAACTTGGCTTCTTGGAAACATCTGATGGTTTTAGCTGATGGGACATTCAAGAGAAAACTGGGAAAACGACAAAGACTCAAGCCTAAGGTCTTGGTTCTAGCTGAGTTGCTCTGTGAACTCCCACCCTACTTTCCACCACTGCAGCCAGCCTTGTCAGTACAAAACCATCCAGGGTGATACATCTCATGGGGCAGGAGAAAAATTTGTGTGAGTTAAACATTTTTACATGCAGGGAACAAACTTTCAGAATATCTGCTCCTATGCAATATATGTCTCTTCAAGAGGACACTTCTGAGCTGATATTTTCTCTGCTTGATCCAAGATTTGTTTGAATTAAATCAGGTAAACTCTGTTCCTTCAAGCAAAAGAATACAAGAAATGGGTTCTGGCAGTCAGCCAGGATCATTGCACACGGTGTATGTTAGTGGCTTGTATGGATTTGCATACAGAGGCTGGGAACACCTGGCTTGCTCAGTGTGAACAGATCAGATAGAAATC